ACTCAGCCGTTCGCGCAGTTCTCAGGGTCGGATGCCCGGCGTATCCTTCGGCCCCTATTGTCCAGGATAGGCGTGGACAGTGCCGACCTATTCGGCACCCACGACATACGAAGGTCGCGACCCGCGACCGCCCACGCGGCTCGGCGCGCACATTCCTCCGCCCCTCTCGCGCGCACAAGGGGGCACGCCGATGACGTCGATCGCGCGGGTGCACCGACCGCAGTAACGAAGGAACGTGGAGGCTGGGCGTCGAACGCCTACCTGGCTTACATCGACCGCGTCCGGGTCGAAAGTGAGAGGGTAGCGGCCGCGCGCAACGCCGCGTCCGACTGCTCGGACAGCTCTGACAGCAGCTCAGAGCGACATCCCGGCGCGCGCCCGAGCGCCGCGCTCCGCGTGCGCAACGGGTGGGCGGCGCACGGCGCTGGTCGCATCGTTGCATTGGGTCGTGCTGCGACCGGCACCGAGGCCTCGCGGCGCCCGCGCCCTCTCGGCGCGGCGCGGGCTTCGGCGCACACCCAACGCTGTGGTTGCAGACGCAACCTAGCTACGGGTGAGCGGGGTGCTCAGCGAATTTGCGTGTATGGAACGAGTTCGGCCCCTGGTTCCATCGCGCGCATTCGCTGGCCCCAGGCGCGCGCGGCGGACGCAGGCGCGAGCAGTCGCCGCGCCGCTGCTTGGCTCGCGCGCGCCGCGGCGCGCCGCAGGCGATGTGGGCAGGCCCGCGCGCCCCCGCGCGCGGCCGCTGCCCGCCGCGGCCGCGCGCAGGTACCACAGGTTTGTGCGTGCCTGGGGCGCGCGCCCCGCGCTCGGGATTTGACCCGCCCGTGCCCGCCCCGTTTCTCGCCCGTTGCTGGGTCGTGCTGCGACCAGCACCGAGCCCTCGCGGCGCCCGCGCCCTCTCGGCGCGGCGCAGGCTTCGGCGCACGCCCAACGCTGCGGTTGCAGACGCAACCCAGCTACGGGTGAGCGGGGTGTCCAGCGAATTTGTATGACATGTTTGGAGCATTTTTGAATACATTTTTATGTTCTCGTCGACATCCCCCTGTGGGGGGAGGGACACGCCCGACATTATATATATATATATATATATATATATATATATATATATATATATAAAGTGAGAGAGGACGGGCTCGGGAGCCCTGGGGCCGCGGACTGCAGTGGTCCTCTCGGAGGCTGCTCGGGTCGGTTCGCGGCACGAGCGTGGGCGCGCCGCCCGGGCGAGCCGCTCGGGCGAGCCGCTCGGGCGAGCCTGGGCCGTGCGGGTGCGCCTCCGTGGGGTGCTCACTCTGCGGGTGCTGTCCGGGCGGTCGGCTGCTCTGCTCGCGCACATGTAAACAGGGTTAGGATCGGGGTAAATCGCTCCGGAGCGATCCGGAGCGCTCTCAGAGCGGCCGCGCCGCCCGATACATCCTCCAAACCCGCCGATTCTCAGAGATGTCGAGTTCTCCCGATCCGATTTTGTCCCGTTTTCGCGTCGCTTTGAAATGCGATCGGCGGCGAGCCTGGGGGAGGTGAGCGGGGGAGGCCCGCCGGCTTTCTGCCGGGGACGCTTCCGAAGCTTTCCCCGAAGGCGCGGGGCATCTCCCTCAGGGCGCGAGGGCCTCCGAGGAGTCCCGCCGCCGCCTTCTGAGAGCGCCTTCCTCCTCTCGGGGGCGGCAAAAAAGGGGGTGATGACTAGGGGGAGGGTGGATCTCATGGCGGGGGCCATGGTATCTCCCAGATTCCATGGCGCCTCTCCTTATCTTATGACGTCCCTGGCCCTCCCGCTGGGCCGCGCACATGCCGCCAGCCATGATTTGCACCCCCCACTCTCATGATGTTTCCCAGATTTCACGGCGCCTCTTCTTATTTAGTATGTCCCCCGCCCTCCCGCTGAGCCGCGCACATGCCGCCGGCCATGATTTGCACCCCCCCCCCTCTTGGACGCCCCCCTCTTTGCCGCCCCCGACTCGCTTCCCCCCGTCGCTCGCCGCCGACGTCTCGCTCCGAACCGCCACGGCAAGCGGGTGTGGGGCCAGGCAGGGCCTCCCGGGGCCGTCCCTGGGCCCCTGGAGTGTCCAAGAGCGGCTCGAGATGACAGAACGGGCAAGGGAAAGGGTTAAGTCGGGCCTGTCCCCCTACAGGGGGATTTTCGACGACAAGTAAGAAATACCCCAAACATAATCAACAAATCGTAAAAAAATAGTCTGGGGACCATTTTTGACTATTTTTCTACCTTTTTGCGGTACTTCTGGTGTATTTGTTATTAAAAGCCCCTTGTGGGGGAACACGCCCGACATAAGGAAAGGGGGCGAGAGATAGCCAGGACCCCGGGGTAACGGGAGCCGCTTCGGCTCTTTGATTGGGCCCCGAAGCCCCGAAAATGACCCCGTGTCGCTAAACCGGGTCTCCCGTAACGTAAGTTTGTGATTATCAAATGATCAGGAGGAAAAGAAACACACAGACACAATTAATCGTCGACTCCCAGGAAAATGTGCAAAAATATGGGACGTGGGGGGAAGACAAAAACCAAAACTATATAGGAAAATATGGGGAATCCTTTTATTTGTGTGTATTTATTTGTGTGTCCTGGGGCTCCTTCAAAGGACTCGACCCCTTCCCCCCCCCAGGGCTGATGAATCGACCCCGCGGAGCGCGATGTGTTTTCCTTAGTGTATGTGTATATATACATATAATCAGAATCACGCGCGCCAGGGGCGCAGGCGGTCAGGGCGGGGGACGGCGGCGACGATTGCGACAGAGAGGGGGGGGAGAATTACCCGCCTTGCTCGGGTCGGAAGAAAAGCCTGGGGAAGGAACGGGGGAGTGGCAAAGCCTGCTGCGCGCAGCTGGTTTCGGTCGCCCCGCCGAAGGGCCAGTCCTCGACGCATGGCTGCTGTCGGCGCCAGGGGGCGCTTGGAGAAACCGGCGATGTGGGCCTTTGCTGCGCCCCACTTTCGTCCAGCCTGCTTTGCCCCTCCAAACACCCCCCCCCCTTGCCCCTCGTTGGCGGCCTGGCGCCGGCGCTAATCACTGGCGCCGCCCGTTGATTTTCAATCTGGCGGGCGCCACCCCGCGATTCGCCCGAGCAGGGGAAATATTTTTTGAACACGCGCCCCCCACGGATTTGTTATTCACAAGCTGACATTGCCTGGTGATTCTTCGGGTGGCGAAAGTTTTGGTGGAGTTGGGCGTGGGGGCGTCCCCGTGTGCACGTCATTAACCCAGGTCCCATTCAACCTGGTTCAGCCAACGCCCAGTTCAGGCTCAAGAGGCCTTGTTCCGCCGCTGACGCTCGTAAGTTTCCGTTGCGCCTTCGTGATTGCCCAGTCCTCCGAATATTGTTTGCTCGCTCCTCCTTTCTGGACAGTTGGCACACCAAACAAGTCCCAAACAAGACATCGGCTGGCCTACCGAGGGCGTCAGGGACCCGCATCAGCTCTGGGGTCCTCTGGGACTTCAAACACAGACGAAGAATGTGCCCCAGGAGGACGAGGAGGAGGCGGAGGAGGAGACGGAGGAGAAGAAGGAGGCAGGAGTTGGAGGAGTTGGGGAGGCAGGAAAAGAAGGAGGAGTTGGAGGAGGCAGGAGGAGGATGGGCCAATCTCTTATCGCATGGGTCTACTGAAGTTGGTGAGGCCTGGGGGTGCAACGGGCCTCGTGACGTGTCCCCCGTCGACACCTTCTTGCAGTTGTTTTGGGGGGTCGCTGCTCTCGTCCGAGTCGGTCACTGGAGGCTCGAGGTGTTGGCAACAAAATCGCAAGAGCCTGATATTTCTAAGCCAGGGCGATGAGTCGCATCGTAAGCAGGGTCGTTTGACCATGACAGAGTGATGATACAATCGGGCCGAGGTATAGCATCGAGATCGGTTCGGGGAGGGTACCATAGTGTTTTTCGCGTTTGCTGGATTGGATGTTCTTGTGTATCCTGGGGGAGGCTGGTACCGTTGGTGTGTTTCGGCCGGCGCAAGGCTTCGTGTGTTTGAAGGATGTTATTTTGGCCTGGGTCCGAGTGTAATGTTGATCATGTTGACGTTGCTGTTGAGGCTGATGCTGTTGTTGCTGTTGCTGATGGCGAGCACACGCGAGGATCACGCGCGGAAGGCACGGATCACACCACAGGGTTCGAGCCTCTCTTAGAGATGGGTGCCGTTAGCGCACAAATCCAACGTTTCTGCCGGCCGCCGTCCACACGAACTCCCTGACGGGTGTCGGGGGCAGCACGAGATACAGTCGGCCCGACGCATAGCATCGAGGTCGGATCGGGGAGGGTACCCTCCTGTTCTCTTCGTGCTTGAGGGACGGAGGGGTTCCTTCTGCAGTAGGTCTGACTGTCTGGGTAGTCGAAGGCCAGACTGTCAGATTGGATTGGGCCCCAAGGGCCAATCTGGCCCGGCCAAACTGGATGATTTGGGTTGTTCGCCAGACTGGATTCGCGTTGGCTCCCTCGCCAGATTGCCCCCGTTTGCCAGATTGGGCCTGCCAGATTGGCGCCGGATTGGCTTCGACTACCCAGACTGTACGTGAAGTGTGCCCTCTTCCTTGATCATGTCGTTTTGTCTTACCCCTTCGGGCGACCCGAATGTGGATACATCAAATGGTCCCGCTTCCACCTCCGCATGCAAGTGCACGTCTATGTGGCCCATCCGGGAGTGAGTTCAGCATGTGTTTCAAGCACTCCGATTTTTTGCGCGAGAAGGACAGGGAGCGTGGAGTGACCAGAGCGCATGGCTGCTGTGTAAACTTCTGCAGGCGTGTATGCGTCTGGAAATGGCACAGGCAATACACGTACTACACTATCGGTTGTCGGATTTACGCGCTAGACATTGTAGCAAGCATACGAACAGGAGGCAGCAGCACACTATGGAGAATGTGTGTGGATGGGTGGAGTGCCAAGCCACAGATGGCAGGAGAAGAGCGGGGACGATGTTTCGATCAGCAAGCGTCTAGTGTGAAGAGTCGCCCACACTTTGTGGGTGGTACGATGGCTCGCTGTGACGTGGCCCCGAGGAGAGCATTCCAGCGCTCGGGCGCCGATCTGCAGGATGCAGGGACTCTCTGCCTTGCCTCGCCGAAGCCAGTGGGAGAGAGAGAGAGAGAGAAGGAGAGAGAGTGAAAGAGAGAGGGAGAGAGGTCAGAGGAGGAAAGGGTACACATACAGCTACGTTTTGCCCGTCTTCCCGTTTCCGGCATTCTGGGATCCCCGCGTCGCCGCCGCCGGATTCGCCCCGAAAGCCTGGTCATAACGCACCCCCGGAGAGGTCCGGGGAGTAGCGTTAGCGGTACCTTCTTGGTTCCCCTCAGGGAGAGAGAGAGAGAGAGAGACAGAGAGAAAGAGAGATAGAGAGATAGAGAGTCTGATCGATTCCCCAGTGTAGGAGCTCATCTGGGCGGGTGGCCGTTTTCAGACCCGCGCTGCCCAGGCCAGGCCGAGCACTTCTCGACTGTCCCGCACCGCCCTGACGCAGTTCCCAGATCACCTTCGGCCAGCGTGTGCGGCTCCCTGCGTCCGGAGGTGCCTGGGCCCGTCTGCCGAGAGCTCTGCCTGACATCCTCTGTGGGGCTACCCTTCCGTCGGGGCTATCCCTCCTCTACAAGGGGGAAATTCAAAAATGGTAAATAGTCGGGGCACGATGTGTTGACTATTGTTTCCATTCTGGGAGCATGTTTGGGGGAATTTTGTAAATTTTTCGCCCAAAATCCCCCAGTAGGGAGACAGGCCCGACCTAACGCTACCGCCCAGTTTGAACAGGGTTCGCCGTCGGCGTCGCCGCGGGCGTTGACCTCGCCTGCTTCACGGCGTCCGCTGCTGCTTGTGGACGGCACTAGCTGTTCGGCATCGTGCCGATTTGTCGTTGCCCAGTGCGGGATGCCAGTCGATGCTTTTGGAGGGTCCTGCTCTAGAGCGTGGATTCGGCCCGACGTCTCTGTGCGCTTGGCGTCGTGATGGATGTCGCTCGGAGGGTAGCTTCTCGGGTATTCTAGTCTGGAGGGGATGGGAAAGGCACCCAACCTTCACGGGAGATGTTGAGATCGGCACACAGTGGAACCCCATGTTCAGAAACACTTTGCTCACCTCCTAGGTGCGCTGGGATTCGTGGGTTTCGATGGTTCTGCTGAGGAAGGCGTGACGTTCCCACACCCAGAATCAATTGACGTCCTGGGGTCTCAGGGTTGGGTTTCTTGTGGATGGTTTCTTGTGGTCGAGCCCCTCGTGTAGCCTCTCGGGCATTCTGTTCTGGAGGGGATGGGAAAGCCCCCCAACCTTCACACGGGAGTCGTCGAGATCGGCACATTGCCCCACTTTCTGAGACGCGAGGGAGGCAGAAGAGGGGAGGCTGGCACGGGGGAGGCGGCTCGGGGAGCGCGGGGTAGGTGTCTGTTGCACAGTCGTTGCACTCGACAAGGCCCAGGGCCTGCGTAGAGAGAGAGAGAGATACGTTTGTCCGACTTGTGTCATGCTTCGTACTTGTTTCGCGCTTGTTCCACACGTGTTTCACACTTGACATGTTCGGTCGTACTTGTTCACACTTGTTTCACACCTAGTACATCCGGGTTGCACATCGTTCACACTGGCGGTTCGCGGACCTTGCCTGGCTCGTTCTTTCGATCCGCACTTATTTTACTCTCGTGACATCGTGTCATACGCGTACTTGTACTCTTCCTGTACTTTGCCAAAATCGCGGATCTCCTGGTCTAGCCAGCATCGAATCTCATAAACCCAGGTGCACCGCTTGATGTGGACCAGTCGCGATGGGTCAAGGCACGCCAGCAATGGTTGGGGTAATGCGAAGTGCAGCGAGGCTCGATCGCCAGATGCTTGTAGAGCGCAGATGAGCCTGGAACATTGCCGCACGCAAAACCAAATCACCATCACCGCCCTTTTACATGTTATGGTTGGTTTGGGCAGGAGGTCCTCGGCGTCTCGCGGGATGTGGATTGGCCCCCAGTGGTCTGGCCGCTCGGGCGATGGCTCTGCGATGATTGCATGATGCGCCAGGCCGTGCTTCCGTCATGGAGGTGGGACGGCACCGGTAGCGCACCTCCTCCTCTTCCTCCTCCTCCTCCTCATCTTCCTCCTCCTCATCCTCATCCTCCAATTCCTCCTCATCCACGCCAGGGACCTCGCCCCTCAGTGGGTGTTCCGAGCGCGTCGGCCTCGGACGGGTGCGCGAGCTCCCGGAGCTCCTGGGCGAGCCGCGTCTCCTCCCGCGGGCCTGCGGGCCCTCCCCCGCCCGCAGAGAACCTTCGGCAGCGGCTGGGGCTCCAGCCGGCCGGCCAGCCAGCACCGCGGCACGGGCAGAAGCGCTCACATTTGGACGCCCGAAATGGGTACGGAAAGAATGTAAAACGACGCGAAGATCGGGAAACAATCGGATCGGGATAATTCGAAATCTCTGAGAATCGGCGGGTTTGGAGGATGTATTGGGCGCCGCGGCCGCTCCAGAGCGTTCCGGAACGCTCTGAGAGCGCTCCGGAACGCTCTGGATCGATTTATCCCGATCCTAGCCCTGTTTTAACGGAAAGAATGGGTACAATGCCCATCAGCAGTTCCTTTTTCATTTTGAGCAGGATTCGCTGTCCACGCCGCCGCAGCCTGTGTCCATTCGAGACAGAAGGCCGCCTGCCCAACAGTGGCCGCTGATGGTTTGGGGCAACACTTGCTGTTGGGCATTGTGTCAATTTTTCCCAACCCTCCTTGGTTGGGTATTCGTTTTGAATAGAGCACTGTGGTCGCGTCCCTTCTCCTCCCGCCTCCCGCCTCCTCCTGCCCTCTCTTTGTCGTCGATGGGGGCTGCGATCTGCGAAACTGTCGCCACTTTCGAAGGCTGCTGGTGGGTCCTGCGGAGTGAGGCACCGCGCAGATCTGAGCGGGACCTCGCCGTGCCTGGGGGGCTGCGACCTGCGAAACTGTCACCACTTTCGAGGGCTGCTGGTGGGTCCTGCGGAGCGAGGCGCCGCGCAAATCTGAGCGGGACCTCGCCGTCCCTGGGGGGCTGAGATATGCGAATTTGTCGCCATTTTCGAAGGCTGCTGGTGGGTCCTGCGGAGCGAGGCACCGCGCCGATCTGAGCGGGACCTCGCCGTCCCTGGGGGCTGCGATCTGTGAAACCGTCGCCACTTTCGAGGGCTGGTGGTGGGTCCAGCGGAGTGAGGCATCGCGCAGATCTGAGCGGGACCTCGCCGTCCCTGGGGGGCTGCGATCTGCGAAACCGTCGCCACTTTCGAGGGCTGCTGGTGGGTCCAGCGGTCTGAGGCACCGCGCGGATCTGAGCGGGACTTCGCCGTGCCTGGGGGGCTGCGATCTGCGAAACCGTCGCCACTTTCGAGGGCTGCTGGTGGGTCCAGCGGTCTGAGGCACCGCGCGGATCTGAGCGGGACTTCGCCGTGCCTGGGGGGCTGCGATCTGCGAAACCGTCGCCACTTTCGAGGGCTGCTGGTGGGTCCAGCGGTCTGAGGCACCGCGCGGATCTGAGCGGGACCTCGCCGTGCCTGGGGGGCTGCGATCTGCGAAACCGTCGCCACTTTCGAGGGCTGCTGGTGGGTCCAGCGGTCTGAGGCACCGCGCGGATCTGAGCGGGACCTCGCCGTGCCTGGGGGGCTGCGATCTGCGAAGCTGTCGCCACTTTCGAGGGCTGGTGGTGGGTCCAGCGGAGCGAGGCACCGCGCAGATCTGAGCGGGACCTCGCCGTCCCTGGGGGGGGCTGCGATCTGCGAAATTGTCGCCTTTTTCGAGGGCTGCTGGTGGGTCCTGCGGAGTGAGGCGCTGCACAGATCTGAGCGGGACATCGCCGTCCCTGGGGGGGGCTGCGATCTGTGAAACCGTCGCCACTTTCGAGGGCTGGTGGTGGGTCCAGCGGAGTGGAGTGAGGCACCGCGCAGATCTGGGCGGGACCTCGCCGTCCCTGTGGGCTGCGATCTGCGAAGCTGTCGCCACTTTCGAGGGCTGCTGGTGGGTCCAGCGGAGTGAGGCACCACGCAGATCTGAGCGGGACCTCGCCGTCCCTGGGGGGCTGCGGGCTGCGATCTGTCAAACTGTCGCCACTTTCGAGGGCTGCTTGGCTAGCCAGCATAGCGATCTGCGAAACTGACACCACTTTCGAGGGCGTCCAGCGGAGTGAGACCGCGCAAATCTGAGCGGGACCTCGCCGTCCCTGGGGGGCTACGATCTGCGAAACCGTCGCCACTTTCGAGGGCTGCTGGTGGGTCCAGCGGAGTGAGGCACCGCGCAGATCTGAGAGGGATCTCGCCGTCCCTGCGGGGCTGCGATCTGCGAAACCGTCGCCACTTTCAAAGGCTGGTGGCGGGTCCAGCGGAGTGAGGCACCACGCAGATCTGAGCGGGACCTCGCAATCCTTGAAGATCTGCGAGCCTCACGAATGCCGCTCGCAGAAATACATGAGCCCATGTCACGTCATCACTTCCGTATAACGTCTACCAAACTACTCATGCCCCGCATTGCGCAGGGGTTGGGTACGTCGCCGGGGTAATTTCCGTACCCATTTCGGGCGTCCAAATCCCACAGACGCCCCGTGCTCCTTGGCATCGCTCGGACGTGTGCACTTTTTTCCTTCGGCGAGGGCCATCGAGGAGCATCCTTGATCATCTAGCGAAAAAGCCGCGCACGAAATTGAAAAACAGAAACACAGGGCATGGACGTCCCAGCGATGGCGAGCTTCTGTTTCTGTGGGCAGCGCCGGCGGGCTCGCCAGCGCGGCTGCCTAGCCCGTGCGGGAAGGCGGGGGTGGGGGGGCCTGAGCGGGTGGGAAGAGCAGAGGGCGGCCACGGAGGCGGAGGAGGGGGGAAGACAAGGGCGCCCTCGAGGTCGCGAAGTGATTCGCGCTTCGCGGTTCGGCTCCGATTCCTCCTCCTCCTCCTGTTCTCCGTTTGGGAGGCGGCGCGAGAGCGCGGAGTTCTTCGCACTTCGCGCTTGGCGCAGCGCGAAGCGCGAAGTTGGGAGCCCTTGGGGAAGAGCAGACGCCCCCCACAGGCGGCAGGCACCTCTCAGGAGCCACCGAGACGCGCGATGCCCAGCCGCAGATCTCGCTCCAGAGTCCCCCCCTGTCAATGTGAACTGCGCACCCCCTCTGGAGCTTCAGGCTGCAGAGGGCTCGGCCACAATCATAAGGGAAAGAAACACACAGTCACAATTAATCGGCGATTCCCCAGAAGATATTGGAAAATATGGGAAGTGGGGGAAAGACAAAAACCTATAACAGATGTGACAAATATGGGGACTCTGTTTATTCGTGTGTATTTATTTGTGTGTCCCAGGGCCCCTTCACACAAGAAACCTTCCACTGGAAGCCCAACCCCGAGGCCCCAGGACGTCCACGGATGTTTGGTGCGGGGACGTCACGCCTTTCCCGGCCAACCCATCGTAGCCCGAGGATCCCAGGGCACCCTGGAGGCAAGCAGGGTGGTTCTTGGCATGGGCCTCCATTGTTCAGGAGGGGAAAAACACACACAGACACAATTAATCGTCGACTCCCAGGAAAATGTAGGAAAATATGGGAAGTGGGGGGGGGGATGAAAACCCAGAGAATATGAGAAAATACAGGGAATCTTTTTATTTGTGTCGATTTATGTGTGTGTGTGTGTGTGTGTGTGTGTGTGTGTGTGTGTGTGTGTGTGTGTCCCGGGGCCCCTTCAATTGTACCCCCCGCGACCCGATGGGCCCCCGTGTCTTGATGGCGCTGGAGTGTCGGACCTCTGAGGGGCTCTGGGCGGAGGCGTCTCCGCCAGCGGCCGCGCTCTTCGGGCGGGTGGCACTGGGGGGGGGGTGACCCACACGGGAGATTACGACTAGCGGAAGTCGACTAAATGGAGAGGAAGCATGTTGCCAAAGAATTCCCAAATGTCTAAACCATGGTTCAAACATGTATCGAATCTGTAAAAAAAAGACATGTGGGAAACATTTTTAGAACATGTTTTACACATTGTAAACACATCTTGACTTCAATGCTAGGATCCTTAGAGCGTCCACTGCCCATGACATCCACAAGTGCAGACAGGGGCCCCGAAGACGGGGCCCTCTCTAGGGCCCCTGTGGGAGGCAGGCGGTGCCCGCTCGGGGCCCTGAGGGGGCCCCTTCGGGGCCCTTCTCTTCGCCCCCCCCCCCTCCTCCTCCTCCTCCTCCTCCTCCTCCTGCTCCTCCTCCTCCTCCTCCTCTCCTCTCCTCCTCCTCCTGCTCCTCCTCCTCCTGCTCCTCCTCCTCCTCCTCCCTCCTCCTCCTCCTCCTCCTCCTGCTCCTCCTGCCCCTCCTCCTCCTCCTCCTCCTCCTCCTCCTCCTCCTTCTCTTCACCCCCCCCGTGTGGGGCATCCCCCGGTGCCACCCGCCCGAGCCTCTGCCAGCGTCCGCGCCCTTCCCAGCGGGTCTGAGAGCTCCAAGGTCGGGGAGGAGCCGGCCCCTGAAGTGGGCTCGAAGGGGTCGAGGGTCGGCCAAGGGTCCAGGGTCGAGGGGTCGCTTTCGGATGGTGTTCAGCATCGGGCCCCTGCAGGTCAAGGGAAGTTGAGAAGTGAGCACCGGCGAAGAGACGCCACTATGCCGCAACGGCTCGTCATGTGCGCAGAGCGCCGTCCTGGTTCCTCTCTTTGCGTTGATCGCTGGGATCTTCCGTGGATCTTCCCGGGGCCCGCGCGGGCATGTAGGTGTCTCGTCAACTTTATTCCGAGTGTCTCACGCAACAATTAGAAAGAGGTCCCTGGAGATCCTCTCCTTATCTTTTTTTTCATCATCTTGATCCTCTTTCTCATCATCTTTCTCCTTTTTCTCCTCCTCCTCCTCGTTCTCCGAGTCCTCCTCACAGTCGGAACGTTCAATATTGAAGTTTGTAATCCAATGTTGAACCAACACTTCAATATTGAACCGAGCCGTTCCATATTTTCAATCGTTTAATTTTCGGCTTGCAAAGTCCATGTTTCGGAACATTCAACTTGTGGGCTTGGGAGTTCAATATTGGACTCCCGCATTGATCCTTTTCGGTTCCGGAGCTGGAAGTGCAAAATCCACGGACGACCGTGGGATGGAATAACAAAAATAGGGGGGATCCGGGGTGTTGTGTTCGTATCTATTTGTGTGTCCCAGGCCTTTGCTTGTGGGGTCGCAGGCCTCTGTGGGGGAAGGAGGAGGAGGAGGAGGAGGAGGAGGAGGAGGAGGAGGAGGAGGAGGATCTGCGCAGACTTGACTGCGCAGGATCCAGTCAAGTCTGCCTGTGGGGTCGCAGGCCTCTGCGCCGGGAGCCTCCGTGTCGGCCCTCGCCCCCGCGCCCTGGAGTTGCGGTTCAGTCGGGCGCGTTTTCTGAGCGTGCCTGCTTGCGTGTTGTCTAATAGTAAATTCAAGTATATGTAATATATAGCACTTCCATATACTGTTCGCGACTGAGGATTTGTCAGACGTCTTCGGCCTCTGGAGGACGTTTCCTTGCCCGCTCCTCCATCTCAAGTTGCGGCGCAGCTCTGCTGTGGAGATATACAGTGCTCCATGTTGGGGCCGTCATGTTCGTGCTCCACTTTCGTCAGAGATTCGCGAAAAAAAAAAGTTCAACAAGTCGTTTGGATGCCATGTTCTGCATATGTTTGAGCATTATTGCTTATTTTTCAACTACTGTCGGAAACCGGAACCTATACATTGCCAGGGGCGGGCTGTTTTCTCGATCCCAAGACTTTTTTTTTGGGTCGGGGACGACGTCGGGGTGGTGTGGTGTATACGCGTCCCCCGTCTTCCAAGCGGAACGACGGAAAATGTGTACACCAGGATCCCGTCTACACCCGGACCCGCGTTCCTGTGCGCATCTCGGCGCAGGACCAGATAAAGCGTCGGTGTATAGAGCTCGTTCCCCAAAGATATTCCAAAAAGGTCAAAACATATGCAAAAACGAGTCCCAAGACTATTTTTGGACTGTTTTTTTATTATTTGGGGGGTATTTCGTTTTTGTCTTCGAAAGTCCCCCTGCAGGAGCACGCGCCCGGCCTTGAGACTGCGGCCGCGGCCCCCGCCGCGCAGGAGGTGCGGACGCTGCTGGAGGCCTGGGAGACCACCGGGAGCTCCGACGCGGACCCTGGCGCCTCGCCGCGCCGCCGGCAGGAGAGAACACACACACACACACACACGAACACACACACACACACACACACCACCACCACCACCACCACCACCACCACCACCACCACCACCACCACCACCACCACCACCACCACCACCACCACCACCAACAACAACAACAACAACAACAACAACAAAATAACACAAAACACACACGTCTGTGGGAAAACACACACAGTGGGAAACAAAACACACACTGTGGGACAACAAAAAAAAAACACGTCTGCGGGAAAAAAACACACGTGTGTGGGACAAAAACACACATGTTTCCCCCCCCACACGTGTGTGCTTTTTCCCACAGAGAGAGAGAGAGAGAAGGCGAGAGCGCCCCAGGCCCCCGCGCGTGGGGAAAGGAAGTCGCGGCGGGGGGGTTCTCGCTATCCGGAGGGGCCCTCGCCGGGCCTCGGGGCGGGCCCCCTCGCGTGGTGGAAGGAGGTCGCGGCGGGAGGTTTCTTTCGCACCCTCCGGGGGGCCCTCGCCGGGCCTCGGGGCGGGCCCCCTCGCGTGGTGGAAGGAGGTCGCGGCGGGAGGTTTCTTTCGCTACTTTCACCCTCCGGGGGGCCCTCGCCGGGCCTCGGGACGGTCAGAAAACGATTCAGAATGAATCAGAGGCGATGCTCGGGGCGAATAGCCCAGGGGAGAGCAATACATGTATCCAGGGGCGTCGATGATCTATGTCTTCGAAAAGGCTCCTGGGCGAATACGTGTAATGCCCGCCCCTGGGCTATTCGCCCCTATCGTCGCTGGGGGCCCTCGCCGGGCCTCGGGACGGTCAGGAAACCATCCAGAAGGAACAACCGGTCCCCAGGAAGGGGTCCAGGCTCTTGGGGGTCACGTCGTGAGAAAATCACGACGTCGGGGTTCTGAGTCCAGGGCAACGTTAGGGGGGGGATAGAGTCGGGGCGAGATGCATCGACCCCCACATCGCCCGTTGATTGGCCGACAGGGGCCTGGTAGCCCACCCCGCCCAGGAACTTGCGGTTTCGATAGCGGGGGCCTATCGGCGATGTGTCGCCGATTCCAGGCCTAGGCCCCCCTGAGCTGGTCCTCACCCAACATTGCCCCTCCAGCAGCGAAGGAGGGTGGGATCGAGGACGTGTCGTGTCAGGCGAAGAAGACGAGCCTGGATAGTGCATACACCTTAGGCGATGCTTAAGAAAACCTAAGTTTTCTGCCAGAGTCTCGATTATTCTTAACGTTTCAATGTAAATCTTAAGAATTTAATAGAAATGATGGGGTTTTATTCAAGTTCTGAGACTGTGAATTTCTTAACCCATGATTTCTTAAGCATTTCGCAGGGTGTAGTCATAATCACGTGGAGCTCCGCGCTGATTTCTCGGATCGGCGCCTCGGCCACCACGGCGGCGCCCCTGGCGCGCGGCGCGCGCCAGGGAGGGGGGCTTCCAATTCCAGCGCAGGTCCTGGAATTCCGCGCCGACCTCGGACAGTCTATCTTCACGCAGTGGTTTGGCTTCTTGAGGGGAGGAGTGTACGTCAGACAGAATGCAGGACCAGTGGGAGCAGAAGGACAAAGAGGAGGGCGCGGGAGGAGGAGGAGGAGGAGGAGGAGGAGGAGGAGGAGGAGGAGGAGGAGGAGGAGGAGGAGGAGGAGGAGGAGGGGGAGGAGTGCAATGGGGAGAAGACCACTAAGCAGGAGGAGTCACACTACTGCGAAGGCCTCACGGCCGGTGCCGCCGACCCTGGAGGGCGACCCATGCGTTCTCTAATGTGGCGGGGGGGGCCTCTTGGGGCTTCCTGGGGGCCTCTTGGGGGTCTCGTGGTGGCCTCTTGGGGGCATCTTGGGGCTTCCTGGGAGTCTCTGTCGCCGAGGGCTCGTCGGGCCCCCCGTCTGGGCACCCTGTTGGAGCCGTTTGGGGAGCCTTTGGGGCCATCTTGGAGGCATCTCGGGCGGTCTTGAGGCTCTCTTGGGTCATTTTGGGGCTCTCTTGAGGCCTCTTGGGTTATCTTGGGGCAATCTTGGGGGCATCTGGGCCGTCTTGGAGCGTCGGCAAGTTGAAACGGCGAGAACGCCAAAATCTGTCAAAAACTTAAGGAAATCATTGATTTTTTCCTCTTCGTGCCCTCTTGGGAGTGCTCTTGGAGACTTGTTGGAGCGTCTTGGCAATCTCTTGGGCCGTCTGGAGGCTACTTTGGCGTCTTCGACCGATGGTTCGGCGATTCGGGACCCTCTGGAGCCGTCTTGGAAACCTCTTGGGGCACTCTTGGCCAGTCTGGGGGCTTTTCTAGGTCCCGGGACACCCCGGGGGGATGCGTATCTGCCCCCCCCTCCCCCCTCCCCCCCCCCTCCAGGACCGCCCCCCGGGACCCCCCCCCCGACGGGGAAGGGATCAAAGGGAAGGGGCTTCCCTTCGACTCAGCTACGACGTTGCTCAATTTTGTTTTGCTTTCGACTCAGCTACGAGTTGCTCGATTTCGCTTTGGTTTCGCTTTGGCTGGCGCGCCTGAGGGGAGGGCGACGACGACGACGACGTCGACGACGACGACGACGACGAACGGAAGAGCATCGACGACGACGACGACGACGACGACGACGACGACGACGACGACGACGACGGCGGCGGCGGCGGCGGCGACGACGACGACGACGACGACGACGACGTTCACGACGAACGGAAAAGCATCTTCCACACGCCGACAGGGTCGGCGGATTAGCAGCAGTAGCCACAGCAGAACGAGAACTGCGATTGGGATTGAAAGGTGCATGTGGGTTCTGTCTAGTTGTTCAGACATCTTGCCAGGGGATGCTAGGATTCTAGACGCGTCGCGTAACCCCACCAGCCCATCCAGAAACGATGCCCAGACGAGTTGCCCTGATTAGGGATGTGAAGGAGAACACAGTGGAATAGAGGGCTGGGTAAGACGTCGTGCCCCAAGAAGAGGAGGATAGAGGAGGAATCGGAGGAGGAGCAAGAGGAGAAGGAGCAGGAGGAGCAGGGAGAGGGGAGTGGAGGAGTGACGAGGAATGAGGAGGAGGAACAGGCGGATAAGGAAGAGGAGGAGGATGAGGAGGAGGAGGGCGAGCAGGAAGGCCAGAGGCCAGAGGCCTCTTCGATGTCTTCCGGAGTCTCGCAGGATTCTTTTCGAGCGCTTCTCGGAGTCCTTTTGGGGCGTCTTGGGCGTCTCTTGCAGTCCTGGGGGCCTTTTGGGGCGTCTTAGGTGCCCATGGGGGGCCTCTTTGAGCCTCTTGGGGGTCTCTTGGGAGCCTCTTGGGGGAATCTTGGGGGCCCATTGGGGCCTCCTGGGCACCTCTTTGGGCCTCTTAGAGCACCCTTGGGAGCCTCGGGGGCCATCTTGAGGCCACCTGTGAGGAGACGGATCAAAGGAAGGGGGCTCCTGACTTAGGGTCCCCCCCCCCCCCGGAGGCCAACATGTTGCCAAAACCTTTTCCAGAAATTCAGTGATGTTGGCCACCTAGCCGAGGACTCTTGGAGCGTCCTAGGTGCCCCGGGGGGGGGCTCTTGGGGGCCTCTTGGAGCGTATTGGGGGTATCTTGGGAGCCTCTCGGTAGCCTCCTGGGGGTTTTACTCATTGTGTGTCCGAAGGCACCGTTGCTAAAATCCCCTGGAACCAAATTGACGCGCGGAGCGGAAGAGGGAAGAGTGTTGAGAGAAAATTCCAGAGGGATTCTCTCATATCCCAGAAATCCTCTAGGGCTTTTGAACATTGCAATGAGATTCCCAGAGGTTCCCTAGGATTCCCGCGGCGCTAAGGCGAGAACGCGCACACATTGGAAAGGGCCTGCCCTCCAACCTCTATTTGTGCTTGCAAACTGCGCGCGGCGCTGAGGCGAGAGCGACACTGAGTACCCGCCCTCACTCCGTGAAGCTCTTGCGAATTGTAAATGCGAGTGTGCGCGGCATTACGGCCGGGGGCCACATTTCGAAATGGAACCACCCGCCTGGAGGCCGCCTCGAGTCTGCTCCTGTTGGGAGGCAGTATTGTTTTGTGCAGTTTGGAACGATCAGCGGTTTTCGGCTCCTTAGGGTCGGTGGCCCACGCGCGTTCATCCGCCAAGGTCGCAGGCCTAGAGGTTGACACCAACACCAATATCGGCGGTGTGCCTCCATCGAGGGAAGCAGATCCCGATCCCAGTGATGGCGGTAATGTTCTGGCTTCCAAGGCGGCCGAAACATCACCACCGGCGCCGAAGTCTAGGATCACCTCCCTCCTGTGGAGGCGGCCCCCTGTGTTGGTGTCGGTGCCCGTATCCAGGCCTCCACAGCAGGGGCGCGGCCGCCCTTCGTCGCGCGCCGCCTGGGCGCTTGCGCGCGCGAGCGCGCCGCGGACTGCGCGGGCGCGCGGACTGCGCGCCCGAGCCGCCCTCCACCGGCGAAGGTCTGCCACCCTCTTGTGTGATTCGAGTGCGCGCGGCGCGGAGGGCGCGGGGCACGTGCGTCTGCACAAGAAGGCGCCCTCCGTCCACGAATCGGGCCGAACGGAAGGGGGGGATTGGGAAAGGGGGGGGTACGAAATCTGCTGCATGCAGCTGGTTGCGGCCCCACCGAGGGGCCCACTCCTCGATGCATGGCCGCCTCCGGCGCCGGGAGGCGCCGGGGAAATCATCTATACGCGAGCCGATTCTCAAACCCCCCCTTAGCTATCCCCCCCTTTCGCCCGGCCCGAATGAAGCTGTTGAAAGATCCCAGGATACCCATGAGGACTTGTGGGATAGCTGGGAGATCCGGGGGGACGTCTGACGATTCCACCGGATTTTTTTCGGATGCTCGAACAGTCCTGAGGCTTGCTGCTGGGTTCCCGAAAGACTCTTGACTGACGGGTTCCTGCAGGTTTTTGCCGACTCGTGGAGGATTCGTTGGAAGAGTCGGGGGTTCTGAAGATTCTCTCAAGGCTTTCGATGGGTCCTTTCAAATTCCTCTGGGTTCTGAACGTTCTGAAAGAGCCCCAAACCATTCCTGAGGATTCCTGCAGGACCCTTGAAAGACCCCCAAAGATTCATCAGAGTTCGCTGTTCCCTCATCCCCCAGGGGAGTGAATCACTTCTTGTGTGGGTGCAAGCGGTACCGGTAGGCACATTCCCCCTTGCGGCATGTATTAATTACACATGTGACAACGGGCAGTATAGGGGGCGTCGAGCATTGGGGTAGTTCTTCTCCTCCGCCTCGTTCATCCCGTCTCATCCTCGGCCCCCTCGTTGCTAATCCTCGCCCTTCCGCCCGCCCCGAGCGACCGCGACACTTCGCACAGGACCATCTCGTGCTCGCGGTGGCCGCGCTGATAGACGCGGACCGGGAGGCGAGGGCGCGCTGGGAGCTGCAGGGAGCGTTGACGAGCCGAGAGCCAGGAGGAGGTCGAGGAGGGAGGGTCGGCGGCGAACTTGGGAGGGAAGCGGGAAGGGGCGGGCCTTGTCAGAAGGCTCGGAGGTCCCCCAGCCTTCTGAGCAGTGTCCCAAGCCTCCCCCGAAGATGCCGAACACCTCTCAGAAGGCTGGAGGGTTTCTGAGAAGCCCCGCGGCCTTCTGAAAAAAAGGCCTGCTCCTTCTCACTTCATTACCCCCCTCGCTCGCCGCCGCGAGGTGGAAGAAGAAGAGGAGGATGAGAAAGAGGAGGTTGACGACGACGACGACGATCACGACGATGTGGGCAAGGTTATGGACGCGGATACGTGGAGCGACGAGGAGGAGGACGAGGAACGACGAGGACGAAAAGGCGGAGGCGGAGGCGTGGCCGACGACAGGACGAGGAATTCTGATGATGGGGACGTTGCCCTCGCCTTCGGTCTCATCTTACGTTGGACAAGCGTTGGTTTGCTTGAAAGTCAGGCCCTGCTACCGCAGCAGCGCGTCGGCGAGAATCCTCCTCTTCCTCATCAGCCCCTCGTCACGAGGGGGCAGAGGAGGAAGAGGAGGAGGAGGGTGGGGACGAGGAGGCTGGCAGCGATGACCAGTTTGATGGGGGAGAACAATCAGGTGTGGGATGGCCGAGGAGGAGGAAGAGGAGGAGGAAGAGGAGGAGGAAGAGGAGGAGGAAGAGGAGGAGGAGGAGACGGAGGAGGAGAGGAGACGCAAACATGGACTAAAAAGTGTGGATTGGCGGTGGGTCCCGCTTCCTTGCAAAGCCGACGCGCCTCGTCACCAGATCAGGCGGCATTGGCCTCATGTTTCGAGGGGCACCTTCCCAGATCCGCAGATGCGTAATCCGTTTTAGCGTCTGCCCGGTGATGAAGAGCAGCAGCAGGAAGCAGACTGAGGAGCAACAGCAGCAGCATCGCCGGTATCGAAGCATCGTTGGCATTGTAGCAGTTGGTATTGTGCGTGTGTGTTGTGTGCACGCACGCTTCACACACACACACACACACGCACACGCGCGCACGCACCCACGCAAACATACACACACCACACACACACACACCACACACGCACACACACACACACATACACACTCAGGCCCGACCAGAGGGCAGTGGATAACATGTGGCGGATTGAGGAAACCCTGAACCGAGAAGTGTTGTCATCTCTTGTGGACGCATTGCTTTACTCCCGCCACCTTCTTCTGCCCTTCAACCGGGAGGATGAGGAAGAGGAGGACGAGGACGAGGGAGAGGGAGGAGGGGGAGGAGGAGGAGGAGGAGGAGGAGGAGGAGGAGGAGAAGGAGTGAGTGAGGAGGAGGAGGGAGGAGGAGAGGAGGAGGAGGAGGAGGAGAGGAGGAGGAGGAGGAGGAGGAGGAGGAGGAGGAGGAGGAGGAGGAGGAGGAGGGGAGGAGAGAGGAGGAGGAGGAGAGGAGGAGGAGGAGGAGGAGGAGGAGGAGGAGGGCTGCGTGTCACGGGCCCTGCAGCCCGTTTGCCACATGGCCCCGCCCCCCTCGCTCGGCCTCCTCTGCGCCGCTCCCCGCCGCCCCCGCCGCCGGAGGCCTGCTGCGCTGGCGGGAGCCCCGGCCGACCGCACCTGGAGGGGGGGAGGGCTTTGCTCGGGGGCGGCCAAGAGGGGGGGTGATGACCAAGGTCGGCGGCGAGCGGGGGGGGGGGAAGCGAGAAGGAGACGGCCCTTTCAGAGGGCTCGGAAGCCCCCTGGCCTTCTGGGAAGGTAGTTTTCTGAGCCTTCCCCGAAGACCGAAAGGCACTCTAGGAAGGCGCGAGGGCTTCTCAGAAGTCCCGCCGACTTCTGAGAAGGCCTGCTCCTTCTCATTTCCCCCCTCGCTCGCCGCCGATAAGGGGGGTGGAGATCTTTCGGGGAAACGTAAGACTCGAGTGCGGCGGAACTCGGGTTCGCCCACGTTTCGTTGGCGAGCGCGTGCTAGGTTTTGACGGTCCAGTTTTCGTGGGACGTCTGCATCGGGAGCCCGCGTCAAATTTTGGGTTGGATCTCATCGTGCGGCCCAGGGGGGGCGGCGGGGACGCCTCAACAAAAGAAGAGGCGCCACGACATCTCGGGGGATCTCATGGCCCCCGCCGAGATATGCCCCACTAGTTTGGGGAGACGCACGATGCGGGTTCAGGGCACTGGGGATGGCCCGACGGGAGGTCGGCGCTGGACCCCCCTCCCCGGCGCGCGGAGCATGCCAGGGGGGTCAGCGCGGATCCGAGCAGTCCGCGGTCAGCATGCCGAGCCTTCTAAAACATTAGAAATTTGTGCCATCCTTCGCTCCCCGAAGGGCTGCGCGCTTGGGCCGGGCCGCTCGCCTGGCGCCTTGGCCGTCGGCGGGCCTCGCGGGGCGGCGCTTCCTGCCCTCCTCGTCCCTCGCGCGCCTCGGCTGCACCGGCTGGTGGCCCCTGTGCAGCCTGCCGCCCCCCCTGCCGCCCCTCGTGCTCCTCGCTTCAGGAGGGGAAGAAACACACAGACACAATTGATCGTGGATCCCCATGAAAATATGGAAAGACATGGGGATTGGGCGGGGAGACAAAAACCCAGAAAATATTGGAAAATATGGGGAATCCTTTTATTTGTGTGTATTTGTTTGTGTGTCCGTAGGCCCCTTCATCGCTGTCCTGCGTTCCGGCGGCTCCCCCCCCCTCTCCCTTGCGAGGGTGCGTGGGCTCCGGCGCCCGACGTGCGTGGGCTGCGGGCGCGGGTGCGCGTGCGCTGCAGCGGGGCAGCATGCCTCGCCCTGCCTCATACCCCACATTCTTCCCTCTCTCCGCCCATCTTCTCAGGGGCAGCGATAGGGGGGGATAGGCATAGGGGGGGACGCATCGACCCCCAATCGCAATCGCCTTCTGATCGCCGACAGGGGTCTGATAGCCCCAACCCGCCCAGGAAGGTGCGGATTCACGATCAGGGGCCTGTCGCCGATCTATCGGCGATGCATCGTCGATTCCAGGTCGATGTGTCCCCCCCTATGCCAGTCCCCCCCCCTATCGTTGCCCCCCATCTTCCTTTTCGTCATTAACGTCTTTCTCGCTCCCAGTTGTCCTCCTCGCTCCTCGCTCTCTGCCCCTCCTGGGCGTTCGGAGTCGGGAAACGCTTGGCAGTCACCGCCCCGCCGCCCCGGGACGCCACCCGCCCACCCAAGTCGGAGGATTGTGAAGGCCGTGCGGCCGTTGCCGCCTGCCCTGTGCATATGCGAGGAGCAGGGCCGGACCTACACGGTGTTTTGGCGACTTCGTGGGCCGTTTTCGTTTCGACGTCGTTTTGCGGCAGAGGTGGACTGAAGACAAGACGGGGGAACACGAAAACAACACGAAAACAAAACGAAGCACACCGTGTAGGTTCAGCCCTGGCGAGGAGGACAGGGGGACGGAACAGGTGGACGAGCGGGGGGGGGCGGGGGCTCTCGGGTCTTCAGATTTCTCGGGGACTGGCCGGGCGCCTCCCGGCGGCGCCATGCGAGCGGAGCCGTCGGGGCCTTCGGTGGAGCTCCTGATGGGGGCCACGAAACGTGTGAGGGGTGTGCCGACGCGGCTGCGGCGGCGCCATGCGAACGCAGCCATTGGGGCTTTCGGTGGAGGGTCGTATGGGGCCACGAGACGTTTGAGAGGTGTGCCGACATGGGTGCGGCGGCGCCATGCGAACGCAGCCATTGGGGTCTTCGGTGGAGGTCCCGATGGGAGCACGCACCGTGTGAGGGGTGTGTAGAGACGGGTGCGGCGGCGCCGTGCGAGCGCAGCCATGGGGGGCTTTCGGTGGGGTTCCGTTGAATTTGCGGAGGGCGATCAATGGAGAGGAAGCGTGGTGCCAAAGCATTTCCAGGTGTCTAAAATATGTGTCCAACATATCTTAATCATGTAAAAAAAGCACGACTTGCACTTTATTAGGGCATGTTTCAAACATCTCAAACCCATGTATAATGCGACTGGTATCTCATTCGTTGTGTTGCCGATCGGCGCGGGCCCTCGCCCCGCCCCCCCCCCCTCCCCCGCCATGGAGTAGATCTTGGCTGTTTGGGCGCCTGTTTCGAGCGGGCGGAGTCCCCCCAGAGGCAGCACTCTTGCAAACAGTCGCACTAGGCAGATGTCTGGAGCCAGACCCCCCCCTTCCCCCCCCCTGTCCGCGCAATGCCGAAACGCAGAATACAAAAACGCTCACAGTTCAGTGACAGAATTGTTGGAGTGCCCATTGTCACGGCATCCACGGCCTTACCTGTTGCGCCACGAGGCGTGCGAAGGGTGTGTGCCGAAACAGGGGCAGGCGGAGGGCAGAAGCAGGACTGGCAGGGCTGTGAGGAGCAGCAGCAGCAGGAGCAGGAGTGAGGAGGAGGAGGAGGAGGAGGAGGAGGAGGAGGAGGAGGAGGAGGGGGAGGGGGAGGGGGAGGAGGAGGAGCAGGAGGAGGAGGAGGAGGAGGAGTGAGAAGGAAGAGGAGGAGGAGGAGGAGATGGAGGAGGAGGAAGAGGAGGAGGGGGAGGGGGAGTGGGAGGAGGAGGAGGAGGAGGAGGAGGAAGAGTGAGGAGGAGGATGAGGTGGAGGAGGAGGACGAGGAGGGGGAGAGGAGGGAGGGATGCGGAGCGCTCTCTCGTCAGAGCTTTGACCACGCACCACAGGATGGTTGGGAAAGAGTCGGCTGTCCCATAAACGACACGTGCAGTCAGCCCGCACAGCACCCTTGCATCCTTGCCTCCTCGGCCCATCTTTGGCCACGTTTGTTGGCCGCGCCCCGCCCGCAGAGCCTCGAAGTTGCCGTCCGAGGCCCCTGCATCCTGCTCGCGCATCTGGTTGACTGCAGTGGCCCGCGCGGAAGTACCGATGGGTTTAGTAATCCAGGCTTGGGGCAGGACCTTCTTTGGAGAGCTGCGAAGGTCCGCATGCGGCAGCTTACCCGTGAAGGAGAGGCGGGGAAGAGGAGCCGGTGGCAGTTCGGGAGCCTCGAGACGGGGGGCAGTGCAATCGGGGGTCAGCCAGAGCGCCCCGACCTTGCAGGATCCTGCAGGGCCAGGGTCGCATTGACCCGGGTTTGGGTGCAGGATCCTGCAGGATCTTGCAGGATCCTTCGCATTGACCCGGGTTTGGGTGCAGGATTTTGCAGGATCTTGCAGGACTCTGCAAGGCCTGACTGACCCGGGTCTGGATTGACCCCGGTCAGCAGGTCCCCGAGCAGTGGTGGAAGTGAGGTTGCGTGGATCAGGGGCTATTCTAGGGATTTGCGCCATTCCGCCGACCCCCAAGCCGAGCAAATTCGTGATTTTGAGAGACGTTTGCGGTTACGTTCTGGTCGTTTTGCAGAGGTTATTGTTATTGTTTTTGGGGGGGGCTGATGGTTGACCTCCTGGGGGCCTTTTAGGGGTCACATAGTTATTTGTTCGCATTGTGGCCGGGAGGAAAGGGAGGAGGCGCTTCAGGACATGTTGTCGTTGTTTTCTTTGGTAGCCTCTTGGGGACATATTGTGGCGTTCGCGAGGCCATTTGGGTAGCTTTCTATACTATCTTGAAACATCTTGGGGCCATTTTGGGACCTCTTGTGTCTCTCTGGGGGTCTATTGTCGGCCTCTCTGAGGCCCCTTGGGAGCATGTTGGGGGGCATGTCGGGTCATAATCACGTTGGGCTCCTGAAGCTCCTTCGAGCTCCCCCTTTTGAAACCCCTCTTGGGGCCATCTTGGGGATATCTTGGGGGCCTTTTCGGCTGTCTTGGGTCGCGTTGGAGGTCTCGTGGGCCGTCTTTGGGCCCTCTTGGGCAGTCGTGGGGCTCTCTTGTGAGCCTCTGTCGTGGATCAGTCTAGCGGTCTCTTGGGCCGTCTGGGGCTTCTGGGAGGCCAAAAAGGTGAGAACTCGGAAATCTGACAAGCCGCTTGCCTCGAGAGACCTTTTGGTTTTTTCTTCAGGTTCTCAATGGTCGTCTCGGGCTCCTCTTGAGACGTTTTGAGGCCTCTGCTCGAAGGTTCTTCGGCTCGCGGGAGACGTTCTTGAGCGTCTTGGAAGGCATGTTAGACGTCTTTGAGCTTCGGAGGGTGCATGTGAAGGCCCCTGGAGCCCAGGGAGTGCGTTGATGAGCTCGACCCCCCCAACCCCCCTTCAGCGGACTTCTGGACCTTGGGCACTGGGGAACCAAGGGGGAGGCGGGCAGCCAAGTACGGTAGCTTCGTGTCGTGCCGACGCGGCAGCGACCTCGCCGTGGGCGTTCAAGATTGAACGCCGCCAGTGGCGCAGAATCGGCCCACATGGAAAGATCTTGCGATGGAGAAGCCGCCGATCGTTCGAGGTTGAACGATCCACGCGATGTCAGAAACCAACGCCGAAGTCGGTACGACACGAGCCTGCCGTACCTCACTCTTTTCCATCCCCGGCGAGCGGGAGTCGGCGGACATCATGCCACCAGCCTTCTTGTCCTCGCTTCGAGGGGAGGTGGATGCCATGGCCCTTGCCGTGAAGGGCTTGGCTGGATCGCCGCACGTGTTCCACTTCCGGGTGCTGCTCGTTTTGATGTCCGACATGCCTGTCCGGTTTCCCATTGCATGCCCCCCATTTGGGCGTTGCGTAATGGGGGGGATGTATGGGGTTGGGTAA